CCCTGAAGCTCGGATGGAGGGGACGTCCGACGTGAAGATGGGGTTCAGAATGGAACCGTCAAGCTTCGGGGTGAAGGACCAGGTGTCTCGCATCTCAGCTGCATGCTTGGATCGCTGTCTCAGGAGAGCATCCAAGTTTGTGAGCGATCCAGGGTCCGTGCTGCAACAAACAATTGACCACGCTGCCGAGGTGACACTTGCTTCTATTTTTGCTTTTGTTATTTATTTACTTTTTTAACCCATAGTTCGGTCTAACCATCATGGGCTTGGTCTTCGCAGGCGTTTATTGCCTCCATTCATTCAGCGGTTATGATCAAGGTCGAGCTGGATGGGAGGCAGGCCTTGGCAGCGAAGGAGAGGGAGAACTTCTCTGGTGCCTTAGAGGTTGCCACCACGCTGAAGGGCGAGCTGCTAAAGGCCCGAAGCGAGGTGGATATTTTGAGGACCGAGGTGGAAGCCAAGGCCGAGCTGCTGAAGAGGGAGGATGAGAGGCATAAGGCCCACCTCCGAGCTGCCCACGCCATCACTAAAGGGTTGGAGAAGGAGAAGTTCCAACTCCTAAAGGAGAAGGATGACATGCTCCAGCCCCTCGAGGCAAAGGACGTTGCAATTGGGCGTCTCACTGCTGAGCTCAAGGTGGAGAAGGAACGCCTTGCCAACGGAGCTATTCTAGAAGCAGTCTTCAGGCAACACCACGACTTTGATCGGTTTGCCAAGGATTTCAGCGATGCAGGCTTCAAATTCCTAATGAAAGGCATTGCTGCTGACATGTCCCACCTCCAAGTCGACCTGGGCGATCTGAAGAAGAGGTATGCTGAGAAATGGGCTTCTGGGCCTAACGGCACTCCAGGTCCTGCATCCCTGGTAGAAAATTACGTCAGAGATCTAGACTCTGATTACTCCGACCTGGAAGAAGACGATGCCCTTAGTCAGGAGCCTAACGGTTGTCACTACCCAAGAAGAAGTTCCTTCGCAACAGGGCAGATCTCAGGAGGTCAACCTTCTGGGTTCCCAAGGCGAGCTATCCTCTCACCTCGGGAGCAACTGAGATTCCTTGTAGATTTTGTTGTTTTTTTTTTATTATTTTTGTAAGTCTCAGGGCAGAGCTGCAAGGTATACAAGTCTTGGCTCTATCCTTCAATCAATGAAGTCTTCATTCCCTTACTTCTGTGCATCTAACTCTGTCTCTTTCTTTCATTACTTTTTCCTTAAGCTTTTGAACTTGCTTTCACAACTCTAAACTACTATATGAATAATTTTACCTCGCACCTCTAACTCGTGTGTTTAAAGGATTGAATGTGGGATGAACTCTTTTCACATCGCACATTTCACTTAAGGTTTGACTTTGAGAGTTTCTTTCTCTGGTCTTTTATATTTCTCCTCGAACTCGGAAGTTCAAAAGATAATATTAAACAATTTTGAAATTTTCACATCGCACCTTTAACTTAAACGTTCAAAGGATTGAATTTTGATTCGCAATTGATTTTGAAATCGCACCTCGAGCCCGTGGGTTTTGAGGATTGAATTTAATCAATTTTTACACTTATAAACCATAAGTCTTATGGGAGTCCGTGGCCCCCATTTAATTTCTGATCGAACTCGGAGTCACGAAATTAAATAACTATGTTTATTAACAATTCAGTTCCTCCCCTTGAAAATTTTTACAAGTCCATTTTAGGACCATTTTGACATTTCAAGGGTAATAGTGCTTTAGGTGCTCCGCGTTCCATGGATGCGCGAGCACATTTCCTTCCAAATCGGCCAGCATGTACGTTCCAGGTCGGACTATGCCTTTAACCTCGAACGGTCCCTCCCAACTTGGGTCAAGGGTGCCCACATGACCCTGAATCTTCGTTAAGACTAAATACCCAACTTGAAAGCTTCAAGGTTGAACTCGGGTGTTGTAATGTCTTGCCATTCTGTTCTGATACTCTGCTAAGCGTAACTGAGCCATTTCCCTTTTTTCTTCTAGTAGGTCGAGGTTGAGGAGTAGTTCGGCCTCGTTTCTAAGTGGTTCGTACTGTTCTATCCTGTCGGTTGGCATGCCGATCTCAACTGGAACAACAGCTTCAGAGCCAAAGGCCAGTGAGAACACTCCAGTTGACTCTCTCGGGGTAGTCCGATATGACCATAACACTTCGGGTAGCTCCTCGGCCCATCTTACCTTTCGGGAGTCCAATCTCAGCTTAAGTCCTCGTTTTATAATTTTGTTTATTGCTTCGACCTGCCCGTTGGCCTACGGATGACCAGGGGACGAACTGAGATGACTTATTCCCAGGTTACTACAAAAGTCCTTGAACTTTGCATTGTCGAATTGCTTTACGTTGTCTGTCACAATGGCGTTTGGTATACCGAAGCGGCATACAATGTTTGCCCATATGAAAGATGTGACCCTGGACTCCGTAATGTGGGATAGCGCCTCGGCCTCGGCCCATTTTGTGAAGTAGTCTACAGCGACAACGGCGAACTTGGTTTGTTATTTGCCCAGAGGAAAAGGACCTATGATATCCACTCCCCATTGTGCGAATGGCCATAGGGCCGAAATGGGGGTGAGCAGTTTGGGAGGTTGATGGATGATATTCGCGAAGCGTTGACAATTATCACAGGTTTTTACAAACTACTTTGCGTCCCACTCAATAGTGAGCCTTTAGTACCCTTGTCGAACCACCTTGGCCGCTAATGACCTGGCGCCAGAGTGGTTCCCACACAATCCTTCATGGATTTCCCTAAGGATGTAAATGCCTTATTCAGGAGTTACACACTTAAGCAGAGGTAGGGAGAAGCTACGTCGGTACAATGCTCCATCTCGGAGTATGAACCGGGCTGCTTTTCGCTCCATCTTCTTTTGCTCCTTCAGATCTTGCGGCAGATTTCCTTTGATGAACTCCACGATTGGATCTATCCACGAGGGTGATGGGATGTCAATCTCCATCACATCTGGCTCCAAGATTGAAGGATTGTCCAAGATCTCGACTAGGACCGATCTGGCCAGGTCGGTCTCGTATGCTGACGCCAATTTGGCTAAGGCGTCTGCATTGGAGTTTTCTAATCTTGGCACTTGATTCACCTCGTAAGTCTTGAACTGGGTGAGGTGCGATCTGACTTTGGTTAAATATTTTTCCATCCGGGAGTCTTTTGCTTGATACTCCTCCCTAATCTGGTTTACGACCAACTGGGAGTCACTAAAGACCTTGATGTGGACGGCCCCCAGTCCTTTGGCAATGCGCAGGCCTGCTAAAAGTGCTTCATATTCGGACTCATTGTTTGAAGTCCGAAAATTGAACCACAGAGCACACTCAAATCGCTCGCCACCTGGTGCGAGCAAGAGGATTCCTGCCCCGCACCCTCTCTCATTGGAAGATCCGTCAACGTAGATCGTCCAGGAAGGTCGGACTTGGCCAACTGAGGTGGTGGGGTGAGCTCCGCGATGAAATTGCCACTGCTTGCCTTTTCAGTGCAGTTCGAGGTTCGAACTGGATGTCGTATTCACTCAACTCCATTGCCCACTTCATCAGGCGCCCTGACGTTTCTGGCTTATGGAAGATGTTCTTCAGGGGCAAGTTGGTAAGCACCACAACGGTGTGTGCTTGGAAGTACGGCCTAAGTCTTCGGGCCGAGCTGACTAAGGCGAGAGCCAATTTCTCCATTTGAGGATATCTGGTCTCGACTTCGATCATGACTTTGCTTGTGTAATAAATGGGACTCTGGCGTACTCCCTCTTGCTTGATTACGGTCGAGCTGACAGCGCTGTCGGACACTGCTAGGTACAAGTGGAGCTTGTCTCCTGGCAATGGCTTGGCGAGCAGAGGTGCCGAGCAAAGATAGTTTTTCAACTGCTCCAGTGTTTGTTCGCACTCTGCCGTCCATTCGAACGGTCCCTTCTTTCTTAGGACTTTGAAGAAAGGAAGGCACTTATCCGTTGACCTCGAAACGAATCTATTCAGAGCTGCAATCCTTCCATTGAGGCATTGAAGCTGTTTCAAAGTTCTGGGCGCTTCCATCTCGAGCACGGCCTTTATCTTCTCTGGGTTGGCCTCGATCCCTCGGTTGTTTACCATAAAACCAAGGAACTTCCCCGATGAGACTCCAAAGGCACACTTAGCTGGATTGAGCTTCATTTGATACTTCCGGAGAACTTCAAATGCTTCGGCCAGGTCGGAAAGATGCGACTTTGACTGCTTGCTCTTGACAAGCATGTAGTCCACATACACTTCCATATTCCGGCCGATCTACTTGGCGGACATTTTGTTCACCATCCTTTGGTAGGTCGCACCCGCATTCTTTAGGCCGAAGGGCATCACCTTGTAGCAGTACAGATCTTGGTCTGTTATAAACGCGGTATGATCTTGGTCTGGCACATGCATTTTGATTTGGTTGTATCCGGAGTAGGCATCCATAAAGGTGAGCAGCTCGTGCCCGGCCGCTGCGTCCACGAGCTGGTCAATCCTCGGCAAAGGGAAGCAGTCTTTTGGGCATGCCTTGTTTAAATTTGTGAAGTCTACGCACATTCTCCACTTCCCGTTGGATTTTTTAACTAACACAACATTAGAGAGCCACTCGGGATACAAAATTTCTCTTATGTATTCAGCTTTTAAAAGTTTGTTTACTTTCTAACAATTACATCACTCCTATCCTTATTTACAGGTCTCCTTTTCTGTTTTACAGGTCGGAATGATGGGTCTATGTTGAGGCGATGCACCATGATCTTTGGGTCGATGTCGGGCATGTCCTCGTGAGACCATGCAAAGACATCCGAGTTGGACCTGAGGAAGTTGATCAGCTCCTCCCTAGCAGTGGCCCCCAGCTTGGTTTCTATGCTTAGTCTTTTAGGGCTAAGCAAAGGAACAAGCTCGAGCTCCTCTTTTGGTGCTGAGAATTCCTTTTTACCTGGTTTTGGTAGGTCGGCCTCGGGCTTCGGCAACTCGTCCTAGCTAGCTTGTTCATCCAGGGCGCATACTGATGACCCTTTGAGCGCGGAGGCATAGCACTCCTTCGAAGTTCTCTGCTCTCCACGGACCGTGCCCACTCCATTAG